TGTACCTCAACCGGAAGGGATACTTTTCAGTGATCCTGCAGGCTGCGACTGACCACCGGGGCCACTTTGTGGACATTAATGTTGGCTGGTCAGGCAAAGCCCACAACGCACGGGTCTACAGCACCTCTTCCATGTGCCAGAGGCTGCACGCTGGGACTTTCTTCCCTGACCACCACATCACAGTCAGAGATGTGGACATGCCTGTCTGCCTGGAGGGGGAAGCGGCCTATTCTTAGCCTCTGAGGATAGAGCAAGAAGCAATGGGCTTAAACTGCAGCAAGAGACGTTTAGGTTGGACGTTAGGAAAAGGTTCCTAACTGCCAGGGTGGTCAAACACCGGAATAAATTGCCCAGGGAGATTGTGGAATCTCCATCTGTGGAAATATTTAAGAGTAGGTTAGATAAATGTCTATATGGGATGGTCTAGACAGTACTGGGTCCTGCCATGAGGGCAGGGGACTGGACTTGACGACCTCTCAAGGTCCCTTCCAGTCCTAGTATTCTATGATTCCATACAGCCCTGGCTGATGAAGCCCTACACTGGACATCTCAACCCTTCCCAACAGGCATTTAATGCCAGGCTCAGCAAGGTCCACATCATGGTCGAGGATGCCTTCAGGCAGCTGAAGGCCTGCTTTAGATGCCTCTTCACCCGCTTGGGCCTCTGAGAGCAGAATATTCCACATGTGGTGGCAGTGTGCTGTGTGCTGCACAATGTGTATGAGCGGAAGGGGGAGGCCTTCCTGTCAGGCTGGGTGGCAGAGGCTGAGCACTTGGCCAGCCTGTATGCGCAGCCCTGCACGGCTGCCCACTGGGAGGCCATTCAGTGGGGCTGTCTGCAGCTGGGAGTCCCTGCGGGAAAGCTTCTATCCGGAGCACCAGTAACAGTGCTCCCTAGTCCACCCCACTGGGGGCTTGTCTCTCACTCCTCCCTCACATCCTTCCACTTTCCCCTCACTTCCCTCTGGAGACAGGTTTTTTTTGAACAAACTGAACTCTGTTTATTGAACCGAACTGGGTGGGAAATGAAACTCCGGTGAGACTGGGGAAAGAAGGTGGGAGAGGGGAGGAGAAAGGGTTGGAGAGGGGAAGGGGAAACTTGGGAGGAGGGAGCTAGTAGGGGGAGGAAAGGGGAGGAAGGGGGAAGAGAAACTCAGGGTCACAGCGGTGCCAGGGCCGCCTGCTCCCAGCACCACGGGTCTGGGGGCCTCGGTGTCCCCGGGGGTGTGTGGAGGGAGAAGCAGGAGGGGGAGAGAGAGTGGGAAGAGGAGTGATCACTGGGGATGCAGCAGAGGCTGGAGCACGAGGGTCTGGAGATGGGCACAGATGGCATGGCCCTGGGCAAGCTGCTCCTGCCACCTCTCCTGCCGGAGCTGCAAGTCTTCTTCGACCCAGTGGTCGAGGATGCAGTGCAGGGCTCACAGTGCCCCCAGGTGCTGCCACTGGAATTCGTCCATTGGATGAGTGGGCCTGCGGAGCCTTCGGGTGCGGTAGGATGTCCCGCATGGTGTGATGCAGCCACCAGGGCACCCTGGGAGGGCTGGAGGCCTCCTATTTCGAAATAGTCCCTATTCCCTGTCTATACAGCACCTATTCCGAATACCTATTTCAGCATTGGCACTATTCTTCATAGAATGAGGTTTACAAATTTTGAAATAAGCCCTCCACTATTTCAAAAGAGTTTCGAAATAGCGTTTTGCTGTGTAGACACTAGCATAGTTATTTCGAAATAACTTCGCTGTGTAGACATACCCTTAGAGACTAATGTGGTCTCACTTTAAATAGGTCCATATGTACCCCATTCTTTGAGAGAGAATGAGATTTTTTTTTTCCCTGTAACAGCAATTATAAGAAATTTCAAACATGGAGAAATGTATCAGCCTCTATGCATCGCTTATTCTTGTGTTGCGTGCCCCACAGGTAAGCTCTGGCAGCAAGACTGACTACAATTAAGGATCATAAACTCTGGATTTCTCAGGGTTCTGGTCACCAAAAACCATGTTGTTCATCTTCCCTCTCAATCCTGACCTTGGTCATATAATTCTACTATAACCAGAATGGGTTGCCAGTAAGACCTTTTAATATATATTTTATTTCCTACTATTGCAGTTAAGCTATTTCTTTCTCTGATGCAGCTGTACAATGGATACAATATCGTTGAAGTATACAATATTCTGGCTCATGCGGTAGATTTTTTTCAAACCCTCCCTGCACAATTTCCTTCCTGTTTTGTTGTTATAAATAGAGTTAGGAATACATTGACTGCTGCCACAGGAGAGATGTGAAGAGAACCCTCAAGTTCAACAGCTGTGGTTGGAATGAAGTTCCACATTGGTCAATTCAGGCATTTAAAATAAAATAAAAAAAGCCACACACACACACGAGACAGATTTACTCAAAACTAGTTTTATTTTTAAAAAAATCCAAGTGCATAGCACTCATCCAGATTCCATTATTGTCAATGTTGTGCATTTATGAACATTTTAAATTATGCCATAAAATGCACATTCTGGTTCTCTCAGTAACAACTTGAAGTAGTGTACTTAATGAACACTGATAAAGCCCTTTTTAAATAACACACTGAAATTGTTCACAGTGCACGCTCCTTTCTCTATTTGCATTGCATCTGACATTACAGTATCAAACTAAATAAATTAAATCCCCCCTCCCAAAAAGCATGTAGTGGATTCTTTTACAGTTAAGCCTAAGATCTTAAAATACAATCAAAATATCTTACTATATGTAGACCTTGAAGTATCAACTAATTGAATAATCACCTCTATAATTCCAGTGTTAATTACCTACTTTTATATGCAAAATACTTGATAGATTTACTAATATTTCAAAACAATCTATACTGCTCCATCATCATTAAAGATGACATATAGCCAATATATGCATTTAACAGACAAAACACTACAGGCATCTGTTATTTCAAGTCATGGTCCATCAGAAAACTGTACATTCATATAAATGAGGTAGTTAGACTGAAAACTTGGACATAGCATTGAACTGAAATCTGAAGATGGAAGACAGTTTCCCTTTTGGATTTATTTATTCCCTCTCTCTTCAAGCATCAATGAAATACAACTCAGGCATTTTAGGAGGTAGGAAACTTGCATGTACTTTCCCTCCTAAAAAAAAGAAATAATTTGGAGGGGAGAGATGAAGGGGAAAAAAAGGTAGCTCTTTAAGGAGGTAAAATAAGTTACTGTGCTCACCTGGTAGTTTATTCTCTAACATGAAGTAGAGTATCAACTCACCCTTACACTTTTTCCCAACCCTCCACTCAACCCCTCCTCATGAAAAATGACAATTTGAAATGTGATGTGTGTTAAACTAATTACAAGAAACAGAGGATTTCTTCTCCTCCATAATTAAGGGTGCGTTCTTGCAACACATTATGGTTCAGCTCCAGGAAGAGCCATCAAAACAAGCAGAAATGTCTTCCACAACTACTGAATATTTTGGGATGTCCCCCATTTCCACATTAATATTGATGTCATACACTCTTTGCTCACTCCCAATATTATTTGCAACAGAGTGTTTGTGAACTTCTGCAGATCGTATAATAATAGAAGGTCTGGCATCATGTCTGCCATTTAACCATGCTTTTAAGTGCTGCCATTAGAAATTAAACAAAAAAAACCAACACCCCCCCCCTCAAAAAACAAACATACATTTTAGCCAATAAGGCGCTCTCCATCAATTCCCTCTCCCATACCAGATTTGGGGGGGTGGGGGGGAGTCAACTGCCTGATTTTGTAAACAAGCAACTTCTCAATTAACATATCTTCAACACCACCTTCATCCTCTGGGGCTGGAGGAATGAAAATTTCTACTCTCAGGCCATCTTGAGTTGTGGATGATATTGCAGCTCAGACAGCTATGTCATAAGCATCCTGCCTTCAACCTGGAAATACATTTTTGTTCTAGCAGAGAGAATACAATGTTGCTCTTCCACAGGAATCTTCCATAAAGGAGAAGAATGAGCTGCCCCAGTATTACCTGATAATGTATTTCCCTCCACTGTGCATTATGCTTGATATATGAAATACTGGATTTTTGTAAGCATTTAACGGTGCCTTTTCTGTATAGATTTAGAGACTCAGACTAGAGGATGTTCTGTATTGGTTGTGTTAATAAAATATAAAACCTCACAACTACTATTATGAGTTCTGGTACAGTAGGAGTTCAGCTTACACTTAGAGAACACCAGTACTCTGCCATCATCTGATGATACAGTATTGGGTGGCAGGGAGTAGCTAGGACTACAGTTAGACTTTATATATACACAAATCCCTTTGGTACTCTGCACTGTAGATGACCTGAAAGAAATATCAGCCTGGATTACACCCAGTAAAGTGTATATACACAAGCAGCACAGAGTCATTTTGAATAGATAATTCCCTGAGTTAGTGAGAAAGTGTTACTCTAAACACCTGAAATGAAAAAGAAAAAAAGGCATCTGTCCTGTTAGGCACAAGACTTAAAAACAGGCAAAAGTCTGCTAACTCAAGTGCCTTAAATTGGACATATACTGTACATAAGAACATGAGCAAAAAATGACAAGTAATTGCATTACTGATTTTGTCAATAAAAGTTTCTCTCTCTACATGGTCCCAATGTTTCTGGGGAAGTACATTGCTCAATGGATTCTTAAGTTTCAAATTTACTGAAAGTAAATCTCACTCAGTCCTGTAGGGAAGTATTGCATACATATGGCCTTTTCAAAGTAATACTGTATATCTCCTTCATTAAAAGATATGGCGCTAGTCAGTCCACAGCCATTTTCCTCTTCACCTGTATTTCAAGGTGGCTGTTAAGAGCACACTGCCCTAGAGTGTCAACAGTATTAGCACATAACTGCCATGTACACATTCCTTTTAGAAAACATACTACATGCTCATTCTTTGCAGATTCTGTACTCGAGCTAATCTATTTCATCGCTTGGTTGCCA